TTTGGCAAAACTGAAATAGATTCACTGCTGCAGCGCCATCTAGCAAAACTAAACCAAACTGCTGATGTGATTCTAAGAATCTGCTAGAATAACCAAACTTTTAAAAACGCACATTTTGTATGGTTAAAATTTCAATTTCGGTGTATTTAAAAGTGTAAATTAAATAGAAAACTCATTTATGAAAATATAAAAATATTTTGAAACAATTAAAAAAATTATCATCAGTTGTACCGATCGGGATTTCAACCGCGACCTTTGGATCGAGCGTTATGCCGCTAACATACTACGCCACCTCAAATAAAAAGAAAGTGTAGCATTAAAGGCGAAAATAGCATGAGCAAGAATGACAACCCAAAGCACGCACAAGAAGCTAAAGGGCAAAATTAAACAACGACTACAACAACAACGACGGCGCTTAGTGCATACAAATGTCAGCCACGGACAACACTGACTGCATTGTCGGCAGAAATAGAGGGTAGAGAGCATTATGCTTGCAACGTCAACCCGCTGCTATCAGCTGTATGAGCGCGTTGCGTCCATTGACATTTCAATTTAAATACAGCGAAACAGCAAGAGCTACCCTAACAGCGACTGCAGCAATTTAAGCCACACTATGGAGGACGTTAGCGGAACAACTCCAGCAGCAAAAAAGAGTACATTGTCAGTAGATCGTGCCGCATTTCTTCTGCTGCGCGTGAAAAAAGCATTCAAGAAAAAGAGACAACAACGCAAGGATCGACAGTAAGTTAAAACCGTCCGTTTGCCACGCCTTTCTTCAAATTCCCTCGTCCCATACATTCTTTTCCTTTCATGTTTAAGCTTTCGAATTGGTTTTTCATTTTCTGTTTTGTCTGAATAGCATTTTCCGCAGCACTTTTTTGTTTGGCCTTTTCGTTTTTTAAAACTTGTTTTAACTTGAGACTTAACAAAGATTTCCCTATTAGGCCGCCGTAATTCCAAGTGTATTGAATTTATCGCATTTATCAAGTTCTTTTGATTTTGATTTAATAGCGTCTATCCGATAGCTGTTAGAAACGGCTTTCTGCTAGTGGCGTTCTCACTCAAAATGTTTGTTAAGCAGATTGTGGTAAATGCGATGGAAATTTTATGGGCTTGCAATAACACAGGGGCAGTTGCTGCAGCATGAGCGTGCGCTGCGTTACTCACGTACATATACTAGCATACACATCTACACACTATATGAGCTTATGATTTTGCACTTATACACATGTGAATATTTTCATACAACACTGTTGAAATGAAGAAAAATGAAAACTTCATAAAAAGACCATTGGAGCAACCGGTACACAATATATTATATTATACAGGTTTTATTTGATTTTGCTTTCACTTCGCTTAAAAGTTTGCTGTAAAGCGAATTTTATTTTCCTCACTGCTTCCTCGCAATGAATATGCTTTTTGTGCTTGGGTATTTACATGCTTAGCAATTTCGTAGCTTTTTCTAGAGCTGAAGTGAAAGAAAAACGAGGTTGAGAGTGGTGGGTGAGAAGTGAGAGATGGAGAATGGAGAGCAGACTGTAAAAAATTACTGCAGTCGAGGAAAAACTCAATTAGGCACAAGGAAAAGCAAGAAAATGTGGAGCTTATGCGGCGACTGAGCGTGACGCTTGTTAAAATACTAAAGTTTTTGACAAACTCATTAAAGTAGAACGTTTCCGATCTTGCCTGCATCTGTACCCACAAGCTCTTTCTTAAAAGACGCGACTTGTGTTCATTATAGAGCTTAAACACAAATTAACCTCAAAATGGGCATGGAGTTTGTGAGTTAATACTCTTTAGTTGTATATCTATTCTTAAGACATGTCAATTACCACAGCCGTGATATAATTTACCTTTTATATATTATACATTACAATATATTTTTGAAATATTTGTTTTATTTTTATTTGTTAAATTAATAAATATCGATAAACGTATTTTCAGCTTCCAGTTTTTAGCCGATCATAGAATGTTATGAGAATTCAAATTAGTACATATATTCTGATTATACCTTGATTAACTGGAGTACTTACTTAGAAGGTACATATCACCTATTCGAGAATAATTGACATTTTTTTAGCGCAGCATTTTTGGATTTTCATGCTGCCGCTAAGGCAGCTCTTCTTGATTTGATTACATGGGCAGCATTTGCTCTAATTATGTACGCGCACGTAAACACAGATTCAAATGCAATTACACAACCACCAACACACACCCACATCGACAGAGAGCGACTCACTCGCAGCGGATAGATTGTTGAGCACACAATGCGTATGCGTAATTGGACATACGAGGCATAACCTTCACCCTTCTTGTAACTTGCTTATTTGAAATGCGTGTGATTATGTGTTCGCCTTTATATGTACATATGTATGAGTTTATACTGGAAAAAGTTATATTCCATTCGAAAAACGTCTGGGTAACAAACAACAAAAATTTTCTGAATGCTGGAATCTATGATATGAGATATGGGAATTCCCGAGAAGCCTATATTTTA